GCCCCTCGGGCGCGGCCACGCCGGCGAGTCGGGGGACGGCGCCTGCGCCCAGCCGGCCCACACGGACGAGGACGAGGAGTTGATGGCCAGCTGGAAGGTGAGCCGCGCCGCGCCGCCCGCGTTCCAGGCCTCGCACTCGTAGAAGCCGGCGTGCGCCACCGTCACGTTGCTGAGGAAGAGCATCCCGCTGCCCGTGTCGGGGTCAAAGTGCGAAGCGCCCTCGTCGCTCTTCTGCACGCGGGCCCCGCCGCCCTCCGACGGCTCGGCGCCGCCGCCGCCGCCCGCTCCTCGGGCCCCGCCTCCAAGGTCCTGCACCAGCCCTCGGGGTGCCGGCGAGGCCTTGCCCGAAGACGCCTTCCTCCAGGTCACCTGCGGGGGCGCAAGTTGCCTCAAACCAATCGAGCCGTTCTCTCGTCCGCTGAGTTGCCCTCATTTTGAGTCTCGTCGTTCAAAGGTCGCGCTCACCTGCGGGCGCGGGTATCCCGAGGCGTGGCAGGAGACGCGCAGACTGTCGCCGAGGCGCACGGCCATGCGTCGGGGCTCCAGCTGCACCAGGGGCGGGATGCACACCAGGCTGTTGGGCGGCACCTCCAACAGGCCGAGGCGCGAGAGCCGCGGCGGCTCGCGGCAGCGCAGGCGCCGGCGCTCGGACGAGCTGAGCAGCCGCCGGCCCTCCTCGTCCATCCAAGTCCTCAGCCAGTGCAGGGCGCAGTCGCAGCGCCACGGGTTTTCTGCCGGCGGACGGGCGGCGTTAGCCCAGCCTCTTCTCCGTTCTGCCGTTCCCAACGACCGAGCCATCGCGCGTTTGTCTGGCGGGCCGAGCTCACCGGTGATGCGCAGCACCTGCAGGCTGACCAGCGGGCGCAGCGCGGCAGCCGCCAAGGTGTGCAGGCGGTTCCCGCTCAGGTCCAGCAGCGCCAGCGAGGTCAGGCCGGCCATGGCCTGCTCGCCCACCATCTCCACGCCGTTGCGCTGCAGGTGCAGCTCCTGCAGCCGCTGAGGACGGCGCATCGCCAAACGACAACAAGAGGTTTGCGGCCCCCGAAACAACAACAACGACGAGTGTCGTTTGCTTGGAAAATACTCTCCTTCCACAGAGCAAGACTCTCTCACTCACCCCAGAATTGGACTTTTCTTGGAACATTTTCAAAACAGCTTTTTTATATGTACGTCATACCGCCAGTGATGAGTCACGTTTCCAAAGATATGTATACTTGACTGTTTTGTTCGTCTCCCATGACTCTCTCACTCACCCCAGAATTGGACTTTTCTTGGAACATTTTCAAAACAGCTTTTTTATATGTACGTCATACCGCCAGTGATGAGTCACATTTCCAAAGATATACTTGACTGTATTGTTCTTCTCCCACGGAGAAATTCCTGTTTGTTGAAAACAGAACTCATTCCTTGAGAAAGCTTTTGGCTTGAATTCAAACATTTCCCCTTTGACTTTTATCCATCCATCCATCTCTGATCTAAAATCGCTCTTTTAGTTTCAGGAGGGTCGCGGCGGTTGCCGGAGCCTCTCCCAGCCTCCTTGAGAAAGCTTTTGGCTTGAATTCAAACATTTTTCCTTTGACTTTTATCCATTCATCCATCCCTAATCTGAAATTGCTTTTTTAGTTTCAGGAGGGCTCTCCCAGCCGTCTTCAGGTAGTAGGTGGGGCACACCCTGAACCGGTTGCCAGCCAAGTCAATCGCCGAGTTGCGCTCCCCATCACACCTCGGGACAATTTCGGAATGCCCATTCAACCTGCCGTGCATGTTTTTGGAATGCGGGAGGAAAGCGGAGTACCCCGAGAAAAGCCACACGGGAAGGCCGGGGCCTGGAATCGAACCACGTGCCTCTGCGCTGTGAGGCTGGCGTGTGAGGGAAACGAAAGACCCCCCCTCCGCCCCCCAACGTGTTTCTATGGCCGTCAGGTATACGCGGAATTTGGCCTATCCCGCCCGCCGACAGTGGGGGTCCACTGGAAGCCATTGTCCCCCCCCCTTTTTTTTCGGTCCTGCCGGCGGATCTGACCGATCACGTTGTCCTGCAGGAACAGCGTCTGCGAGGGCACCGCGTCAACAATGTCAAATGTTGGACACTCGGTTAGTGTGAGTACAGTGACGCCTAATTGGAAATGTCACAGGTGGCGGTGTTCGGATGCGTGCATTACCTGCAGGTAGAGGTAGTGCAGTTGCGCCAGCGGGTGCAGGTCCTGCCGGCGGATCTGACCGATCACGTTGTCCTGCAGGAACAGCGTCTGCGAGGGCACCGCGTCAACAATGTCAAATGTTGGACACTCGGTTAGTGTGAGTTTAGATGCAGTAACAAGCGGATTTGCTGCGTCAACACATGGACATGGACAATAGAACGGTTCGAGCAGACATATATTCTTTATCCTCGTCAAAAAATGACAAAATAGTCTGGTTTTTTTTTTTTTTTGCGAGGTATGGATTTTTTTACTTGCTTTTCCCCCTGTGAGAAATCATTATTTTGGGTATGATTTTCTTGAAAAATATGACATCTTTCCAAAAAACAAACAAAATGATACTCCTTGAAAAAGTACAACACTCCACCAAATCGTGACTTTTTCTGGAGGAAGAAAAAAAAAAACCAAAACCTTCTCAGGTCAAATGCACAATGTGACTTATTGTCTCCAAAAAAGTACAACCTTTGGAAAATATATTTCCCTAGGAAAAAAAAAAAAGTTGATCTGAACAAAATATACCCTTTTCTCTGGGGGGAAAAAAAGAAAAAAAATATATACCCTTTTGGTAGAAAAACAGGACTTATTTTCCTCTCCATTATTTTGTATACATTAACCCCACAATTTTCTTTACTACAACAAGTAAACGTTCAATGATCAGAGAGCAGATGGAGTGCATATTGTTGTTCTGTCGTCACCTGCGTGGATGCGGGCACTCGCTCGGGTAAGGCGAGGAGGCCGGTGGATCCGCACTCCACCGTCAGGCTGTAACATCGGCAGCTCGCGGGGCAGGGGGCGGTCACGCCCACGGCGGCGGCGTGCGGAAGGACCAGCAAGATGATGAGGAGGAGGAAGAGGAGCCGGACGGCGGGGGGGAGCGGCGGCGGCATGGCGACACGCTCTGAAACCAAGCAAAATATTTCAACAAAGCGGCTCCCGTCCCCGTGGGCCCCAAAAGACACTTCGGGAGGGACACCCGCACGTCATCCAAAGAGGCTGTAGCGGTGCACCTCACAGCGTGGCCAGAGCCAAGGTGGTGAGGGCCATGAAATACTGACAAAGAATTTCACCAAAGTTGACGTCCAAATCATATTTCTACTTCTACTCCGACTTGAGGGCGAGAACGTGTCGGAAGTCGGACGGGTTTTTGGGGGCAAAAGTGTGCCGCATTTTGGGGGCAGGTGAGAGAACAGTCAACTCTTGCTTTTGGCCTTTTTACGTCCAAGAAAATACTGTGCGGGCCTTGAAAACTCTGGCAAAATGCTCGGCTGGGTGTTAGTGAGTTTCCTCACGGGAGTACTGTTCCCCGTGGGCCCCAAAAGACACTTCGGGAGGGACACCCGCACGTCATCCAAAGAGGCTGTAGCGGTGCACCTCACAGCGTGGCCAGAGCCAAGGTGATGAGGGCCATGAAATACTGACAAAGAATTTCACCCAAGTTGACGTCCCAATCATATTTCTACTTCTACTCCGATTTGAGGGCAAGAACGTGTCGGAAGTCGGACGGGTTTTTGAGGGCAAAAGTGTGCCGCTTTTTGGGGGCAGGTGAGAGAACAGTCAACTCTTGCTTTTGGCCTTTTTACGTCCAAGAAAATACTGTGCGGGCCTTGAAAACTCTGGCAAAATGCTCGGCTGGGTGTTAGTGAGTTTCCTCACGGGAGTACTGTTGCTCCTTTGAGTCATGATTATTCCTAGCGATGAATCTGTTGATTATTTTTCAGATGAATCGAGGAATGTGATTCCCTCACTTGTCTCAAAAACATGACCACTCGTATCACGGAGCAGCAGGAGACTCTCGTGCTCGTCACTGGGGCAATCTCGGGAATCCTCAAACAGTGCAGGCAACAAAGAAAATGGGAATCATCTGGCGCTTTTGCGAGGTGGTCGGCTGATCCTCCATCTCGCACAATGGAGGCCACGAGCACGCGCGCGTTGACGCCTTGACGTCGATTGCGACGAGGTGGTTGCTACCTGGTGATGAAGACGGAGGAAGAGGACGACGACACGCTTTCACCGGCAAGGGTCGACGCTCATTTGACGCGCGCCCTGAGGAGGAGGAAGATGCGCGGCCCGGGTGGCGTCCGAGGATCCAAGGATGGAGCGCTAGAGAGAGCGAGAAGGAAGGATGTGAGCTGAGTGCAAAGCTGCTCCTTGGTCTGCTTCTTCCACTTGGATTCGACAAAACGTCAGGCGGGACGGGTTCTTCCAAAACACGCAGCGAGCGGAGATGTTTCCTCGACGGCTCCATCCTCCCCCTCTCCCTCCTTTTCGGCCTCCTCTCTGCCACCCGCTGGCTCGCTCCGTTCTCTTCCGCCAGCGGTCTCTCCACAATAAAAGAAAGCTGGAAGACATCAACATACTCCGGACCCGCTTACCCGGGGTTCGGCACTCACCCACAGATTCACCCGTTCGCAGATTTCTTTTTTTTTTTTCAGCACTTTGAATTTCTGCGAGGTCTGGGACGTCTGGGCTGCCCACCTGAAACGTGGCTCGCTAGCCTAGCTTCCAATCAGCACGATAGTTTAGCGAGTAGAGACAAGATTTAGTCCCCCAGATTACTTGTGGTACTACACGTTCATAAACTTTGCAAACGCGTGAAGCACTCGGATATATCCCCGTGTAGCTGGCAACCCGGCACGTGCGTGAAATCTTAACGTGCTTGCAATGTGTGCGTCTGTGTTTTGGGGATTCCATACTTGTGGTACTACACGTTCATAAACTTTGCAAACACGTGAAGCACTCGGATATATCCCCGTGTAGCTGGGAACCTGGCCCGTGCGTGAAATCTTAACGTGCTTCCAACGTGTGCGTCTGTTATTTTGTGTTCGTGTGACGCCCGAATGTATGTGGAATCCCCGAGTGTGCAGTGTGCGTGTCTATATAATGTTTGGGTCAGTGTGGAGGCGTAATATCTGTTATTCTGTGTGTCTATTGTGACTTTGTAAGGAGTCTGTGTGTGTGTTGTCTGCGTGATTGTGTGTGCACTTAATATTTGTGTATGTTTGTATAACAATTTGTGTGTGTGTGTGTGTGTGTGTGTGTTAGAGCAGGATGGGCAGTGTGGAGCAGCTGGCTGCGGTGGGTTCTGTACTGGTGGACCCCCGCCAGGACCTGACGCGGAGGTTCCGAGCTCTGTTCACCCTCAAGAACCTGGGAGGTACGTTTCAAGAGATTTGGAGATAAAACCAAATAAACGCAGCAAAAAATAAATAAATGAAGATCACTTGTCAGTGTCTTGTGTGCGGTTTAAACTCAGTTGCATTCACACGAGACCTTTTTTGAGGGAATTTGTTTTTGAAATGCACAAAATGAGCTCCAAGTGGGTGCTGCGAAGCCAAATGGCTTTATGTTCATGTTGGATCGTGTCCCGTTTGTGAGGCGCTGAGGCGGTGGAGTGGATCAGCAAGGCGTTCGGCGACGACTCGGTGCTGCTCAAGCACGAGCTGGCCTACTGCTTGGGTCAGATGCAGGACGGGCGCGCAATCCCCGTCCTCAGCGCCGTTCTCAAGGACACCCGACAGGAGCCCATGGTACGGCACGAAGCGGGTGAGTGGCAGCGCTCGCGTGGCACTCGCCACGCTTGTGCGTCCTTTTCCCCAAATGCTTGCTCCCGATTTCCGTTGGAACCCAAGTGGCCGCTTTGTGTGCGCCTGCAGGGGAAGCCCTGGGAGCCATCGGGGACCCGTCGGTTCTGGACCTGCTGAAGGCCCACTGCCAGGACCCCGTCGTCGAGGTACAAGGCATTGAAAAATTCTACATGTCCCACTTCAAATGACAGGCTTTTCTGCTATTGCCCCCCTCCCCCTCCCAAAAAAAGAGCGGTGACCATGAAAAAAAAAAGTATATATTTTTTTCCCCCTCATTATTGTACGCCATACAACTTGATTGGGGAGACAGAAAAAAATTTTTTTTAAAAATGAGATCATGTGGTTGCATAAGTGTGCACACCCTCTTAAACCTGGGAATAGGTACAGAACGAACCAGTCACATTCAAACTTGCATTCAATAGGGATCAGCACACAACAGCCACTGATTGGTTGAAAAAATATCTTACCCCCCCCCACCCCACACACACACACACACCTTGGAGCCCTGGCCAAAAAGACACATGAAGTCTTCCATTTGAGTTCAGAGTGGCCCCTTTTGGGCCCGATTGTCCCTTTTGGTTCGGAGACGAGGTCCACATCGCCAGTGTCGACGACCTTGCAGGTGGCCGAGACGTGCCAGCTGGCCGTGCGTCGTCTGGAGTGGCTTCAGAGCGGCGGCGACGACAAACGGCGGGACGGCGAAGCGGAGGAGAACCCGTACTGCTCGGTGGACCCGGCGCCCCCACACTCCCGCGCCAACGTGGACGAGCTGCGCGGCCTCCTGCTGGACGAGAGCCTGCCGCTCTTCGAGCGCTACAGGGCCATGTTCGCGCTGCGGAACCTCGGCGGCCCGGAGGCCGTCCTGGCCCTGGGGGAAGGTGAGAGGCCCTCCTGACCGCAACCGTGTCGTAGGAACCCGGCCTTGATTTTCTTAGCGATTGGATCGTTTCCAGACTCCTGATCTGCTTTTTTTGGTTTTGTTTTTTTCATTTGTTTGAAATGCGCTCCTTGATTCTTCTTCATTTGTGGAACTTCAATCTGCAGTACTAGATGACGTTTGTTGTGGTTTTTCAGGCCTGCGGTGTTCGAGCGCCCTGTTCCGTCATGAGATCGGCTACGTCCTGGGTCAGATGCAACACCCCGCGGCGGTGCCGGCACTGCGCGCCGCCCTGGAACGCAGCGGCGAGAGCGCCATGGTGCGCCACGAGGCGGCCGAGGCCCTGGGCTCCATCGGCCGGGACGAGTGCCTGGCCGTGCTGCGACGTTTCCGTGCCGACGGCGAGCGCGTGGTGAAGGAGAGCTGCGAAGTGGCCTTGGACATGCTGGACTATGAGAACAACCAAGAGTTCCAGTATGCGGACGCACTTGCCAGACTGCAAGGATAAAAGCCGGGGAGGGAGCGAGGGAGGGATGTGGGTGTGGGTGTATAGAAATTAAAGTTTTATTGAAAAAACACAGAAACAAAATGCTTCCCCCACCCCCCAAGTGACACATCTTTAGTTGGTTCTCGACCGGTGCTTGACTTGAGTTATGACGGGTTCCGAGATGGAGTTCTTGCTCTTGTTTTTTGACTGTTCTCTTGACTTGTCCTTGTGACAAGACTTCGAGACTGGTTCTTCACTTGGGACGTGACTGTTGTTGAATTTTTTTTATTTTATTTTTTGAGATGGATTCCTTGCTTATGTTTTTTTTTTTTCTCATCATCTAAGCCGATCACAAATTCTCACGGATGAGGTGTTTTGAATGCTTTACGTCAACCAATTTGCTGCCCCGTTTTGCATTCACGACTCCTTATTCGCGTTTCCTTCAGACTTGAGGAAGTGCGCGTCGTCATCTCGGTGCGGAGCAGCGGCGGTGTTATTTTTTTGTTTCCACGGCAACCGCGGCGGCTCCCTCCGACGCCCTCGCGAGCGGCGTCCTCGTTTGCTTTGACTCGCTCGGCCACGCCGCGAACTTGTCGTGCGCGTCGACTTCTCCGGGCGAGCAGCGGGAGAACGAGAGCGTCTTCGATCGCGAGCGAGCGAGGGGGGTTGAGCAAGTTCCTTGGAGCGACAAAGCGTCTGCCCTGCTCGCGCCGAAGGTGAAGGAAGGAAGCCGAGATGGACGGAACCCAGCAGGTCAGCCTGCAGGTGGCTGCTTCCTTCAAAGCGTTCCTCATGAAGAGCAGCAGCAAAAGCAATCTCAACCTGTGAGTTGAAAAGCTCAAGCCCTCGTACACGCCCGCTCGAGTTTGCGAATTGGCACACAGAGTGCGCGCGCCCGAGTGAGTCTCGCCAATTGTTATTTCGCTCGGTGGGTGAGAAACCTCCGCGACGCTCAGCAGCAAAAAGTTGGAACAATGCGTCGGACTATAAGCAGTCAAAAACTTTTGTCGTACCGAACTGGCATGATCAATTTTGAGTGTGGCCGGCACAACGTATTCTTGCTTATAAAATCCGTGTACGTTTGCCTTTCTGACCGATTGACCTCTGTCGGCTACCATTGATCGGGGGGGGGTTCACGACGGTCAACCTGGAAGCAGTCTGACGTCATGAATTTGACATCCATTCGCAAGCATGGCCTTTTGCGGCCATAAGCAGTCCGACAAGAAAAATAGGAATTATCCACGATGAAGTTTACAAATTGAATAAACTTGAATACCGCCCCCCCCCCCCCCCTCTCCACCCACACCTGCT